GTCAAGCTCAGCAACCTCATTACCACATATCCGAAAGAGTAAAAGAAATATACTGTTTCGATAATTTCGGTTCTCTCCCTGAAAAAAATGAGTGTTAACATTTAATTCAATCATACAGGGGTAATAGGCGAGGTGAAAACAAGTCAAAAAAGTTCATATGACCCATGGTCCTAAAGTCAATAGATTTTTGTCTAAACGGCTTTATACTTTATACTAATCTAATCTAAAACGTTTTTAAATTGGGTAATTCACAAATAAATGGCATTAAGTTTTTCTAAGTTAGTAAGTAAGTAAGTTTCATTAAATTAACTATTTAACACACACATGACACCAGCGCGTCGGTCTTTCATCACCCTTATCGAACTGGCAATCGATCGCAAAAGGTTTTAAAATAAATATTTTGGCGGGTATTCTTGACGATCAGGTAATTGGCCCTTTCGAGTTACCCCCAAAGTTGTCAGGAGAAGGAAACCTTAGCTTTCTAGCCAAAATAACCTACCAGAACTTTTGGAACAGACCTTAGACAGCATGCCATTACAACGGAGACAGAATTTGTGGTTTCTTCATGACGGGGCACCACCACACATTTTTAGAGGCGTCATCCAGTATTTGAATGAACATTATCCAAATCGCTGGATAGGTCGAAATGCTCCTGATCCTCGAAAATGGCCAGCAAGATCTCCTGACCTCAATACGATGGATTTCTGGTATTGGGGAGAACTTAGAAGGATTTTTTATGGGGCTGGTCCAATAACAACTGAAGCATAACTTCGCGAAAAAAATTTAAATGCGGCTTAAATAATAAATGGACAACTTCAAGAGAAGAAACTGGATTCGTCGTAATGAAGCTTGTGTTGGAACATTTTGAACACCTCCTTTAAATACAAAAAAGTGCAGTGTGGGTTTTAAAAAGAAAAACAATGTTTGTATCAAAATTGGGTTCCATATTTATAAGTGGATTTTTTAATACGTTCAAATAATGAAATAATACCTAAGAGCCAAGAATAACAAACTCCATCTCTATTTACACTGCGTTCCGTCGTGATTTGCGCCGGCATTGCGGCGTTGTCAGACTTTATTTTACTCTAAAGTCGCTTTTCTCTAAAAAAATGCCGTTTTAACCCCCATTTTATATGAAATTTTTCGCTGCTTTTAACCCCCTCCATCACCCATTCAAATAATGTCTATCGTAACGTTTACACCCTGTATATCATAAAAAAGTGAGAAGGATCAATCACTCAGTAATAAGCAATGAACCACTTTGAGCTATGACTGATTCTAATTCAAGGTCGACCAATTTGATGACGTCATATTTCTGAATTCTTAGAACACCGTTCTCATTCCGGTCTGTCTTGTATTTGAAGTGAATTGCACATTTGGGGGTGATAATATGTAGTATTTACTATTTTTCTTTCACGTTCCCAAACTCTGAAGCCCTCAAGCAAAACTTGCTAAGCACAAACAATTTATAGTAGTCCAAAAACGCAAAAACGACCCAAAAAACTTGCCCAAAGGCAAAGGCAACCCTGCTGTAATTTATTTTACTATTAATTCACTGGACAACAAATTTTAGTTTTTTAATTGTATTTTGTGGGAAAAGTGCACTACTTTGTTAATTTTGGGGCGCTGAATCCAAAAATGACAATGAAATAAAAAAATTAGTTGCGGTTTAGAAAAAAAACTTTTTATTTTTAAGGATATATTGAAAAAAGTAACAAGATTCATATACTTATAAGAATCACTATATGCGCTGTCTTTTTGCTGTTCTTTTATGGATCGTTTCTGGAGCATCTCTACCAAGAGTCTACCAGTAGTCTCTAAGCATGGAAGGATTCCACTTTCCCTGGTACCTTTTTTCCATTGTTGAAATATCCTGATGAAAACGTTCGCCGTGCTCATCACTTACGGCTCCGCAATTTTCAGGAAAAAAGTCCAGGTGTGAGTGTAGGAGACATATTACAGCCCATCTTTTGATTCGATGACAGCATATTTTTGACAAGGGTTTTATAGTTGTCAGCTTTTCTATTTCCCAAGAAATTAGTGACCACCAGACGGAAATCATTCCAAGCAGTTTTTTCAATACCTGTTAAAGTGTTTTCAAACTGTGTATCTTTCAAAATATTTCGAATCTGTGGCCCAACAAAAAAAACCTTCTTTAACCTTTGCCTCACTTAGTCTTGGAAATTTCTGACGCAGGTATTGAAAAGCTGACCCATCTCTATCTAATGCCTTGACAAAGTTTTTCATTAGGCCTAACTTGATATGCAGTGGTGGTAATAAAATTTTTTACGAATCTACTTATGGCATATGCTGTATATTTTTTTGACCTGGCTCTAGGAATTGACGAACAGGCCAGTTTTGTCTGGTGTAATGAAGTGCCTTTGCCCGACTGTCCCATTCACACAAAAAACAGCAAAACTTTGTGTAGCCTAGCTGCAGCCCAAGTAAAAGTGCAACAACTTTCAAATCGCCACAAATATGCCATTGGTGCTCATCGTATTTTATGCATGTCAATAGGTACTTCATATTGTCATATGATTCTTTCATGTGAACTGCATACCCTACAGGAAGAGATGGTAAAATATTTCCAATATGCGATAACACTGCCTTTAAACTCAATGTTGAACTGTCTATAAACAATCTCCATTCTTCTGGGTTATAGTTTATATTTAAAGCCGCCAGTAAGCCGTTAATGTTACTGCAGAAAACCAAATTATTCTCCATATTGAAAAATGGTTCTAAGTCTTTGTGGCGTTTACGAAAAACACATACCGAAACATCGTCTTCTAACAAGTTCCACTGCTGCAGTCTTGATCCAAGTAACTCTGCCTTACATTTTGGAAGTTCTAAATCTCTTACAAGATCATTTAATTCTGACTGTGTTATTTTGTGCGGTTAGTGGCATGACGTGCTCGGTATAAAATCAGGATCTCTTGACGTTGATGGCATATCTTCTTCCTGACGAATCACTCGATCGCCATGATCTGATTCGTTTTCTGATTCGCAAGTGTAGGATTCTGGGGGTTTTGGAATAGGATTTTCGTCACTGTGAGGCACAGGTCTCATCGCAGATGGTATGTTTGGGTAGTTAATAACCGATTTTTTTTCTTGGACATACATGTGGCTTGTCCAACACAAGGTACCATGCAAAAGTAACAATTATTAATATGATTTGTAGGCTCTCTCCAAACCATTGGGACAGCAAAGCGCATAGACCGTTTTTTGCCATTTAACCAGCTCCTCAGACTTGAAGCACATGTATTACAGCAGATGTGGGGTACCCACTGTTTGTCTTGATCACCTAGTTTACAACCGAAATAAAGCTGATATGCCTTTGTTATTAGTGGAGTAATAGACCGTCTCTGAGACGCAAAAGTCACATCACCACACACGTAACAAAACTGATCTGGATTGTTTACACACTTTCGAGACATCTTGCATGAACGCTGTCAGCCAACTGAGGAAAAAATGGCTAATATAAAACAATATAATGTACACGTATGTATAACGTAACACAATCGTGCCGATTACATCATCTTTCCTTGCCGAATATAAAAATGTAGCACGTGCATTCTTGTGAATTACAGTATATTAACACTGTCACAGCAGGAACACATATAATTACCGTATCTCTAAAACTTGAACTAATATTGAAAAAATAAGTTTCATTCCGATTTTAGCACATTAAAAATAGTAATATTTTGTTGCTTTTATTTAGGATATTTTTTGGCTGCTGATCAGTGTGATTTTTCATAAAAATCAAGTTTTATCAAAAAACAGATCCAGATATTTGACTTACAGCCTTAAGCATACTTACCTTAAACTGTTATAGAGCTGTACGCAAAGGAAGAATATATCGTGTAGGTATGATATCATGACTAATGGTGAAATGTGTTCTCCAACGACCATGCAAAGCCTGGACAATTTTTGATAATCTTCTCTAATCTCCCTCCAGATCTTTTTATCTGCAATCTAAGCAATTTTCTATGAAAAATACAGTCACTTTTAAATTGACCTGTCGTACCTTATTGAATTTCATCCTATTTACGATTTGGTCAAATTTTGATGACAGATCTACGCTGATGAGGATCAATATTGCGTTACTGAAAAACCATACAAACGTAGCTGTAAGGTTGACCACCTGAAATTTGATAAAAACGTCATTGTGTACCGCAACAAAACAATTTTATGAATTAGAAGAGAAGACTTCTATCACCTACCTTTGTAATAAGTCCAGACCAGATGCTGTAGTCAATGAACGTAAATACGTTTGGAAATGAGAATACAAAAAAGTTCTCACCAGGTTCTCTTTCTGGATGAGTACAATGCTTCGTTACGTATATTCCATTTAATATAAATAGTAAATGTTCAACTAAAATCAAAGCCTGATTACTTAAATAGAAGCCAAAAGACGCTTACTATTCTTATCTGATTTTAAGCTAACCATACAAGCTAATATCGCCAGTCAGGGTAAAGAGTGTATGGTCAGCTTTATACAAGGTAAAAACGGGAATAAAAATGAAAGGTAGGAAGGTGTAATTTAGATTTTGGAGGCTTGGAAAATGCATTAATAAAAGATGTTTTTACCCAAAGAAGCTACGCCGTAAATGGAAAAAAGTATGATGAATCTCTTCTTGAGGTTGATTTTTTTGTAGTTCCTAAACACCTTCTCCACGTACGTCCACTCTTTCAAAATCTTCGACCAGTGTCTGGCAATATTCACAAAAACTATTGCTTTTAAGCAAGCCATTGCGTAGAACATCATTGGAGCTAAAATTATGGAATGAACATTTTATCAAGAGCGCAAAGTATCAATTTGCCGCTTAAGAAACGCTAATGTCGCTCACGCTCGAATTTCATGTGAGAAAGATCTCAAAATTACGTTATTTCACATGTGTCTAACGTTTTATGCCTTGATGATAAATAATATCCTTACGAGGGATGTCTTTTAAGTTTTGCATATGGAAATAAAACAACACGGTAGGTAGTTTTAAATGACTTTATTGTTTTTCAAAGTATTCGCCACGAAGATTAATACACATCTGCAACCAATTTTCGAAGCACCCGTTTGCTGGCAGATTCAAAACGGCATTTTTGAATACGTCAACTGCTTCTTCTGGTGACTGGAACCTTTGACCACCCAGTTTTAATTTTCGGGAAAGTAATAAATCGTTAGGATTCAAATCGAGACTATATGGAGGATGGTCCAATAATTCCACGTTTTCTTCCGTTAAATACTGCCTTGTTTTTTGGGCTGTGTGCGAGCTTGCATTGTCTTGGTGGAGGATGATTCTTCTTTCGAGGTTGATTTTTCGAAGCTCGGTGATAACTTTTGGCAAACAAATGGTGGTAAAAATTCACTGTAGTGAGAACACTGCACGTATTGTTGTGAATCTTGAATTTAAGTTTACTAAAGAGTGAGGTTAAGATTCAGTACTGACGTTCGATCCGCACGGCCTACTATGTTTCTATATGCAAAACTTAAAAGACATCCCTCGTATCTCAATTTTACAGAAAATGCAATGATATATACTAAGTGACATATAAATCCGAACACCCAGTTTAAATAACTCCAACGGTGTGATGAACATGTCAACATTTCAACAAAAAACTGTGGATTCCTCCTTTCACCACGTCGCCTTCTAACCCTGGCACGACCATCGTGCATGCCTAAACAAAATCGAGACTCGTCACCAAAGACAATACTGTTCCATTCCTGATCCCAGAGTGACCGTTGTCTGCACCACTCAAGGCGATTACGTCGGTGTTCTCGAGTTAAAGGGAGGACCCAGTGTGGCCGGTATGAAAACAAGCCAAAACTTCTCATTCGTCGGTAAACATTTCGCATGCCAATAGGTATTCCGTGTTCTGCAAACCATTCATTTGCAATGGACCTGGTAGTGGAGAAACGGTCCCTTAAGGCCAATAATCTTAGGCGGCGATCTTCACGGTCTGTTGTTCTACGGCGGCGTCCAGTGCCTCTTGCTCTTTGCGTACGGCCTTCTCGAAGCCATGCCTGACAATACCTAACCACAGTGTCTACACTTCTTTGCACTCTAACTGCAATTGCCCGAAAAGAAAGTCCAGCTTCTCGAAGTCCCACTATACGGCCCCTATCAAACTCACTAAGTTGATGAAATCGTACAGGTCTCCATACTCTAGGCATCGTAACCGATCGTAAAGGATGTCAAGAACCAAAATCCGCCAATGTTGATTCTTTACTGCGGCTGAAATATTCATTTTTAGAGCGTTAGTGAATTAAAAAAAAAGCAGTATAAAAACCGGAATGTGCAACTGATAAGGCTGAACATTTTTTCACTTGTTATTTACAGTAAGATAAATACATTCACCAGCTTTTATTAAAATAAAACTATTTAAACTGTGTGTTCGGATTTATATGACACTTAGTATATTTTGTTAGAAAAAAGTCTGTATTCCAAAACCTCTAATGCTTACCTGCATTTTGCAAGACAATCCCATCTTTTGCAAATACCAAAATCCAAAATAGATAGTCGATGAAGTAGCCACAAATGATGAGAAGACAAAACATGGTTCTGAATCCCACCCACTTGAATCGAATGCTACACGTGCCTTTCGTTGTGTTGTATAGAGGCATCGTTCCAAAAAATTGCGCCGCAGTTATCATATATTTGATGTTTTCGTGGAAGGAGCTTTCGATGTGTTTTGGATTCAGTGATACGATTGGAGCGAAGTCTGGATTCATCTTTTCAGCCATATCTCAAAGTATGTTCTGCGTGACTTCCTTTGACATTTCATAGGACACAAATGAAAAGTGACATGTTCTTATAAGGGAGACCTACGGAATCCTCTAGGGCAGTGGTCGCGAAGGCAATTATGGTGGCTCACAACATATTTTAAAAAAGTGTAAAAATCATAGAAGCTTCCGTAAATTTTGTAAATGCTACTGATAAACACAAGCAGCGGCAACACTGCGGTGAGCGATCTGTTCGAGAACGATCTCGATTACTTTGAACGGAATAAATACACAATACACAAAGTCGAGCGTTTATCAAAAAGCTTGAGTTTTGGAAGCAAAACATTAAAAAAATTGTCAATGAGTCTGAGCGTCAGGCTTCTCATTGAACATACCTACGATTGGTAGGATTGGATCCATGTATACTAACTGACATATAAATCCGAACACCCAGTTAAAATGGTTTTATTTTAATAAAAGTTGGTGAATGTATTTATCTTACTGTAAATAACAAGTGAAAAAATTTTCAGCCTTATCAGTTGGACATTCCGGTTTTTATACTGTTTTTTTTTAATTCACTAACGCTCTAAAAATGAATATTTCAGCCGCAGTAAAGAATCAACGTTGGTGGATTTTGGTTCTTGACATCCTTTACGATCGGTTACGATGCCTAGAGTACGGAGACCTGTACGATTTCGTCAACTTAGTGAGTTTGATAGGGGCCGTATAGTGGGACTTCGGGAAGCTGGACTTTCTTTTCGGGCAATTGCAGTTAGAGTGCAAAGAAGTGTAGACACTGTGGTTAGGTGTTGTCAGGCATGGCTTCGAGAAGGCCGTACGCAAAGTGCAAGGGGCACTGGACGCCGCCGTAGAACAACAGACCGTAAAGATCGCCGCCTAAGATTATTGGCCTTAAGGGACCGTTTCTCAACTACCAGGTCCACTGGAAATGAATGGTTTGCAGAACACGGAAGACCTATTGGCATGCGAAGTGTTTACCGATGAATGAGAAGTTTTGGCTTGTTTTCATACCGGCCACACTGGGTCCTCCCTTTAACTCGAGAACACCGACGTAATCGCCTTGAGTGGTGCAGACAACGGTCACTCTGGGATCAGGAATGGAACAGTATTGTCTTTAGTGACGAGTCTCGATTTTGTTTAGGCATGCACGATGGTCGTGCCATGGTTAGAAGGCGACGTGGTGAAAGGAGGAATCCACAGTTTTTTGTTGAAAGACATGTTCATCACACTGTTGGTGTTATGGTTTGGGCTGCTATAGCTCATGGTTGCAGGTCACCTTTAATCTTCATCAGAGGTAACATGAACGCGCAGCGTTATATCCACGAAGTTCTAGAACCCCATCTTTTACCCTATCTTGACACCCTGGCAGATCCAACTTTCCAACAAGATAATGCCCGACCACATGTTGCAAGAGACACAATAGACTTCTTTCAACATAATGATGTCACATTGTTACCATGGCCACCAAGATCTCCCGACTTATCCCCAATTGAGCACGTGTGGGATATGGTGGGTAGGAGATTGCTCAATTTGCAACGTCCTCCTCAGACTCTAGAAGCACTTCGAGAGGAGTAGGTGGTTGCCTGGAATGAAATACCACAGGAGGAGATTGACCACCTGACCAGAAGCATGCCTAGGCGCGTTGGAGAATACGTAGCACATCAGGGTGCATCCACACATTATTAAAGGTCAAAGGGCTTTAAAGCAGTGCAATCATTTTGAAATTTTTATCATTTACTTATTATGCTTCATTAAGTACTTATACAAAATTTTATTAAAATAAAACCATTTAAACTGGGTGTTCGGATTTATATGTCACTTAGTATAGTTATGTAGGATGTATTGTTTATTCGTTTATTGAAGTTTATTAGTGTGTATTAGTATTAGTAAAAGAAACGCATGTATGTCGCATACAACTGTGTATAATTTCATTTAATTGGCTTACATTGCTTACGACTAGGTAGCTCACTGTTTATTACAGAATTATCAAAGTAACTCGACACACTTAAAAGACTGGCGACCACTGCTCTGGGGAGATACATGTCCCTAAGGCCAGATTTCACTATTGGTGGAAAAAAGTCCAGCTTTGCCACAAATTGGACCAACAAGAAGGCGTCTTTGAAGTAATAGAACTAATGAATTTGGCCTATTCCTTGTAAAATGTCTCTCAAACTAGAGAAAACAATCGGTTTGTGTAAGATGAGCTCCTAGTTCTCATATTAAAACAATAAATGCTTCATATATCACATGATTCAGCTATAAAAATTTATTTTTAATTTGTGTCCTGACACAAAAGCTGGCGTAGATTCCAAAAGGATTTCTGGCGTACTCGAAACATGGATTCAACCTGATACTGAGCATTTTATTGAACATAACAGTGTCTCACTGTTGCTGTAAAAAAATTTCAGTTTGAGAGACGTTTTGCAAGAGATCGATCATAGTCATCACAATGAAGTTCCTCTTCCAAGCGTGTTAGTATTGAAAAAACACAAGCTGCAGATATAACTAAAGATAAAGAAATGGATGTCGAGCATAAAGTTGAATGAAAAAAGAAGTTTGGTTTGTGTTATAACTAGCATAAGGAGATTCTTTTGACAAAGGAGTAATATGGGGTTGTCCAAAACGAACGCAGGAAAGTAAACGCATATTAATACAAGAAAGATTGATATTCAAATCAAGTTTGGTACTTTATTTTGAAGGTTTTGAAGGCGAAATCGCGCGATCACCGAAGAAGGACTGCAATCGATGGATATTGACGTTGGTTGTGTGGCATGTTGCACTGTCTTGTTGGAAATAAACATCGTCCATATCCATTCAAGTTGCGGCAAAAAATAGTCCTCTATCATCACGTGATATCGCTCAGAATTGCCGTCCCATTCAAAGTGAAATGCGCTTCGTCGCTGAACATGATTTTTGATGAAAAATTGGCATCAATTTGGCGGTGTTCAAGGAGCCAATCTGAGAACGTTCGGCTCGAAAAATGGTCGGCCCGACGCAGCTCTTGCGTCAATTGGATCTTGTAGGCGTGTACATTCAAATCCTTGCGGAGCAAACTGGTTCTCGAAATGGCCAATTCTTGGGATCGACGCGTTGTTGATTGTTTCGGATCGTCTCTCACACTCTCCTTCACAACAGCAATATTTTCCGGTGTGCGAACGCTCCTTGGCCGGCCAGAGCCTGGCAGATTTGCCACAGAACCTGTTGCCTCGAATTTACGCACCAGACGACCGATGGTTGTTTCGTTTGGGCGGTTGTTGCGACCGAAATGTTCACGAAGCGCGCGAAACGTGTTTTTTTATTTTTGCACCATTTTTGTAGTGCTCTTGAATAACTTCAATAGAATACGACTCCATAGCGATCAATGGTAAACATTCAACTAACAAAATGACATCTCGGTGACAGAAAACAATGATGGCGTCAAATTGACGTTTACTTTCCTGCGTCGATATTGGACAACCCTATATTATCAATAGGCTTGCCGTGATAAAAACGCAAAAAACTTATTTTCTTTTAGGTCCGCTATTATCATGCAACGCAAAGGAAACAGCCAATTCTCTGGTTAGCTCAATAAATTTAGATTTCGCCATAATACAGGGTCCGCCAAAGGAACCTGATGAGTTTCAATATGAAACTACAAATGTATCTTTCAAGATATTTATTTTCATATATAAGTAATTGAAAGTGTATTACATGCCATTTTATGTGTGGAAAAATAACTTCGGTCAAATGATGTCCTTCACTGCGGACATACTCTTCCAAACGGTTTCGCAGATTCCCCATTACGCGCTGTACCATACTCATCGGAATCGCGCTAATTTCATTGCGAATGTTTTACTTCAACTCTTCAATGGTCCTTGGGCTCGTTAAATATACCTTGCTTTTGAGGTAACCCCATAACCAATAGTCACAAGCCGTGAGATCGAGAGACCTTGCCGGCCAAGGAACATCTCCATTCCTGGAAACATTTCTCGCAGTCGAACCATTGTTGCTCGTGCTGTATGCACTGTGGCGCCATCTTGCTGAAACCATACAGTATTTAACTCTATGTTCCGTCGACGAAGCTCTTGTTCCAAAAATGTGTTTAACATTTCCAGATAACGTTGCGAATTGACCGTGACAGAATTTCCAGCATCGTCCTAAAAAAAATAGGGTCCAATTATGCCGAATCGCGACACTCCGCACCAAACAGTAACCTTGCGACTATGAAGGGGTCGCTGGTGAAGTTCTCTCGGGTTTTCTGCACACCACTAGCGAAAATTCTGCTTATTCACGTAGCCTGATAACTCGAAATGCGCCTCATCAGACATAATGAAGCCACCTAAAGCGTTTTCATCCAAAAGTTCCAGACGCTGGTTGCTTGCAGTCAAACGGTTCACAAAGTCTTCAGCTGTCAGTTCTTGAACCATCGCTAATTTGTAAGGGTGATAATGCAAATCCTTATGCAAAATACGCCGCACTGTTGTTTTTGAAAGCCTTAGACTAATTGCTTGTAGCCTAGCTGAACGACGTGGACTTTGCTGCACCGCTGTTCGCACCCTCTCAATATTGGCTGGAGTCCGAACTGTTCGACGCATTCCTGGTGGCTTAGCTTTCATTGCTGATGCAGATCGACGAAAATTTTTGACCCACAACTTAATCGTGTTACGGCATGGAACAGAACCATGACGTCCGACATTGAAATGTGTACGAAATAGACGCTGTGTGATGATCACCGAGTCGTGATTTTTAAAATACGTCTCGACAACAAATGCGCGATGTTCACTTGTCCACAGCTCCATGACTACTGAAATGGCATCTACTACCGATGTCTTGCCCACTGTAACCGATGTTCTACGTCAAAAAACAGCTTCGTACTATCCATTCTGAAAACGTCAGGTTCCTTTGGCGGACCCTGTATAAGTTTTGAAGAGATTTCTATAATTATTATTATTATATATTTTTTTTGTATGTGTGATTTTGTTAGTTTCTCTCACACAATGAGGTTAAGTGTAAGAGTAGCCTTTTGGGTAAACCTTGCCTCACTGATGTGTATTAATAAAGACATTTATTATTATTTTCTCTGGACTGCGAACTTTGTTATCATTTAACGAACTCCGTATCTTTAACCGTTTCCGAGATGCCAATGGTGAAATTTGTAACATTGAATTTTAAATCAATATTCTTTAAATTCGTTAGAAGTTTATTACATACCAAATGAAATACTACTACTGCTACCACCTGAAACCACAGAAAAACTGTTGCGACCAAAACAAATCCGAAACATTCGCACTTTATCTACTTTTAATATTCTGATGATAGATTAGGGACAGTTTGATAACATCGATAGAGGGGTAAGATTTGTTTTGCTTATGAAAATTTGATACCATGTTTACCCGTTTTTCCCAGATTCCAGTGTAACTGTGTTTATTAGTGATTGTGTTCATAAGATGTTGTGTGTACGATAAAATATCGATTGTAAACAGTATTCAGAGTAGAACCACATTGCGGAGCTCCCAATACAGTGAATATACGGGGTGTTACGGAATGTTGTCTGGACAAGTTCCTCACGCACAAATAACACTGGACAACAAATTATAGTTTTTTAATTGTATCTTGTGGGAAAAGTGCACTTCTTTGTTAATTTTGGGGCGCTGAATCCGAAAATGACTATGAAATAAAAAAATTAGTTGCGGTTTAGAAAAAAAACTTTTTACTTTTAAGGATATATTAAAAAAGTAACAAGATTCATATACTTATAAGAATCACTATATGCGCTGTCTTTTTGCTGTTCTTTTATGGATCGTTTCTGGAGCCTCTCTACCAAGAGTCCAACAGTAGTCTGCAAGCATGGAAGGATTCCACTGTCCCTGGTACCTTTTTTCCATTATTGAAATATCCTGATGAAAACGTTCACCGTGCTCATCACTTACGGCTCCGCAATTGTCAGGAAAAAAGTCCAGGTGTGAGTGTAGGAAATGTATCTTAAGAGACATATTACAGCCCATCTTTTGATACGATGACAGCATATTTTTGACAAGGGTTTTATAGTTGTCAGCTTTTCTATTTCCCAAGAAATTAGTGACCACCAGACGGAAATCATTCCAAGCAGTTTTTTCAATACCTGTTAAAGTGTTTTCAAACTGTGTATCTTTCAAAATATTTCGAATCTGTGGCCCAACAGAAATACCTTCTTTAACCTTTGCCTCACTTAGTCTTGGAAATTTCTGACGCAGGTATTGAAAAGCTGACCCATCTCTATCTAATGCCTTGACAAAGTTTTTCATTAGGCCCAACTTGATATGCAGTGGTGGTAATAAAGTTTTTTTCGAATCTACTAATGGCATATGCTGTACATTTTTTTTGACCTGGCTCTAGGAATTGACGAACAGGCCAGTTTTGTCTGGTGTAATGAAGTGCCTTTGTCCCATTCACACAAAAAACAGCAAAACTTTGTGTAGCCTAGCTGCAGCCCAAGTAAAAGTGCAACAACTTTCAAACCGCCACAAATATGCCATTGGTGCTCATCGTATTTTATGCATGTCAATAGGTACTTCATATTGTCATATGATTCCTTCATGTGAACTGCATACCCTACAGGAAGAGATGGTAAAATATTTTCAATATGCAATAACACTGCCTTTAAACTCAATGTTGAACTGTCTATAAACAATCTCCATTCTTCTGGGTTATAGTTTATATTTAAAGCCGCCAGTATGCCGTTAATGTTACTGCAGAAAACCAAGTTATTCTCCATATTGAAAAAAGTCTTTGTGGCGTTTATGAAACACACATACCGAAACATCGTCTTCTAACAAGTTCCACTGCTGCAGTCTTGATCCAAGTAACTCTGCCTTACATTTTGGAAGTTCTAAATCTCTTACAAGATCATTTAATTCTGACTGTGTTATTTTGTACGTCTGGTGGCAGATGTGGGGTGCCCACTGTTTGTCTTGATCACCTTGTTTACAACCGAAATAAAGCTGATATGCCTTTGTTATTAGTAAAGTAATAGACTGTCTCTGAGACGCAAAAGTCACATCAAAAAAACTGATCTGGATTGTTTACACACTTTGGAGACATCTTGCATGAACGCTGTCAGCCAACTGAGGAAAAAATGGCTAATATAAAGCAATATAATGTACACGTATGTATAACGTAACACAATCATGCCGATTACATCATCTTTCCTTGCCGAATATAAAAATGTAGCACGTGCATTCTTGTGAATTACAGTATATTAACACTGTCACAGCAGGAACACATATAATCACCGTATCTCTAAAACTTGAACTAATATTGAAAAAATAAGTTTCATTCCGGTTTTAGCACATTAAAAATAGTAATATTTTGTTGATTTTATTTAGGATATTTTTTGGCTGTTGATCAGTGAATCCAGTCGTATTGAGGTTTCACCTCGGAAAGAAAGAGAAGGGTTGTCTTTTGTTGGTTCCTGCTTCACTTTGCTGACACCACTCGAAGCACTCTGTATCCAACTGTTCATCTAGCAGGTTGAACATGACCCACCTTGTCTCCTCCTAGTTATTTATCAGTAGATATTAAAAATTCCATTACTTCAGCCACAAACACAAATTAAAACAGAAACTTTCTAAATATTGTAATAGTTTCATCTGAAACATCAAAATGTAACATTCTACATCGCATTCATACACATTGCAGATACAATTACCATGGATAAAATCTAAAACTGGACATGAGGTCTATAAAATGTCAGCTCATTTGAAGCTACATTTGATAAATTGAGTTGTAGAGTTGCAGTTGGGAACGATAATAACCACACGTTGTTTCTTTTTCTACTTGTTCTCTTTGGTGACTTCGTCGAATTGGATAAGAATCAGTTCGTACGTCACCACTGCACCTGCAATCTGTTAGAAATATCGTCGATTTATCTTCATTGACTTGTCAAACAGAAAATGTGATTATGCGTAAAGGCGCATTCATGCTGTTTTATTTAAAGAGACTTGTGAAGGCAGACAGTTGTACTGGTAGCGCTTTTTTGTCTCGGAATAATCCAGATTCTGATAAAATCTACAATAAATTGATGAAATTCCAGATTTTTTCTTGAAACAGGTGTTACATACGATAAGTAATCATGTGGTTAGTTTGTACTTTTACCCGGATACCTGCTCTACTGACGATTCTTATACAAACTGTGTTTGTCCAAAGAAAATAGATTATTATTGTTTTTATAATTAATTTACGAACTGTCAAACTGTCAAACCTATGCAACAACAAGCAGTGTATATTATTCGCTATAAAATCGAGAAAGAAAACTCTCTCGAACAGTAATTTACTTTGTTCAGTAACATTTACGAGCCCCTTCCCACTTCAAGGTATGTACCAAAATATACTAAGTGACATATAAATCCGAACACCCAGTTTAAATGGTTTTATTTTAATAAAAGTTTGTATAAGTACTTAATGAAGCATAATAAATAAATGATAAACGTTTCAAAAGGATTGCACTGCTTTAAAGCCCTTTGACCTTCAATAATATGTGGATGCACCCTGATGTGCTACGCATTCTCCAACGCGTCTAGGCATGCTTCTGATCAGGTGGTCAATGTCCTCCTGTGGTATCTCATTCCAGGCAACCACCAACTCCTCTCGAAGCGCATCTAGAGTCTGAGGAGGACGTTGCAAATTGAGCAATCTCCTACCCATCATATCCCACACGTGCTCAATTGGGGATAAGTCGGGAGATCTTGGTGGCCATGGTAACAATGTTGAAATTATGTTGAAAGAAGTCTATTGTGACTCTTTCAACATGTGGTCGGGCATTATTGGAAAGTTGGATCTGCCAGGGGGTCAAGATAGGGTAAAAGATGGGGTTCTAGAACTTCGTAGATATAACGCTGCGCGTTCATGTTACCTCTGATGAAGATTAAAGGTGACCTGGAACCATAAGCTATAGCACCCCAAACCATAACTCCAACAGTGTGATGAACATGTCTTTCAACAAAAAACTGTGGATTCCTCCTTTCACCACGTCGCCTTCTAACCCTGGCACGACCATCGTGCATGCCTAAACAAAATCGAGACTCGTCACTAAAGACAATACTGTTCCATTCCTGACCCCAGAGTGACCGTTGTCTGCACCACTCAAGGCGATTACGTCGGTGTTCTCGAGTTAAAGGGAGGACCCAGTGTGGCCGGTATGAAAACAAGCCAAAACTTCTCATTCGTCGGTAAACACTTCGCATGCCAATAGGTCTTCCGTGTTCTGCAAACCATTCATTTGCAATGGACCTGGTAGTGGAGAAACGGTCCCTTAAGGCCAATAATCTTAGGCGGCGATCTTCACGGTCTGTTGTTCTACGGCGGCGTCCAGTGCCCCTTGCTCTTTGCGTACGGCCTTCTCAAAGCCATGCCTGACAACACTTAACCACAGTGTCTACACTTCTTTGCACTCTAACTGCAATTGCCCGAAAAGAAAGTCCAGCTTCCCGAAGTCCCACTATACGGCCCCTGTCAAACTCACTAAGTTGACGAAATCGTACAGGTCTCCGTACTCTAGTCATCGTAACCGATCGTAAAGGATGTCAAGAACCAAAATCCGCCAACGTTGATTCTTTACTGCGGCTGAAATATTCATTTTTAGAGCGTTAGTGAATTAAAAAAAAGCAGTATAAAAACCGGAATGTCCAACTGATAAGGCTGAAAATTTTTTCACTTGTTATTTACAGTAAGATAAATACATTCACTAACTTTTATTAGAATAAAACCATTTAAACTGGGTTTTCGGATTTATATGTAACTTAGTATATATATACAGGTACAATGTGGCGCATCGAAAACGAAACAGACGCATTTACTGGTAGCTCAGTTTTTTTTTTTTGAAAAACACTCAGACCGTCGATTTTGTTTTCGAGGGGGACACAAGTTTGGCAAAAATCACGTTAACACGTGCAGCCCCCCAAGCGGGGGTGACACCACCCCCAAAACCTTAAAATGGAAAGGGGGGTCGAGTGATACCTTATTTTAAAGGTCTTTCAATTCGCTTTATAATGATATAAAATTAATTTACTTCAGTTCAGTAGTTCTGAAGATTTATTGATTTGAAGCTTAAATAAGTCTAAGATATCATCATTAGTGGAGATCAATTCATTTGGCAGGAAAGTAATTTAGAAATGAAGAATGAACTGACCCGTTAGGCAAGTAAATGTTGAAAATCGCCACCATGACTCTCCATGCAATAATAAAGATTTTGCTCAAAACGTTGCCGCACATTTTGCAAAATTTGAGGAGTAATTTGAGGGCACTCATTCACAATTCTTTGTGTCGCAGGTCTTCTAATGATGTTGGCTGAGTAGCATTGATTTTTCTTTTTAAATGACCCCACATAAAGAAATCCAAAGGTGATAAATCTGGCGATCTTGGGGGCCATTCAATGGCACCTCTTCTACCAATCCATCGATCTGGAAACGTCTGATCTAAATATTGTCGGACACGTAATGCGTAATGTGGTGAGGCACCATCCTGTTGGAACACCGGTCAAATTTCCAGGTAAGAAAAAAGGACCAACTAAATGATCGCCAAAAATACCAGCCCAAACATTTAATTTTTGTGGCTGCTGTCTATGAACCTCATGATAAATTCTGGGATTAGAATCGGACCAATATCGGCAGTTATGACGATTTTTTTTTGAAATAATTTATTTAAACACAATAATACAAAAAGTATAACCAGTTTTAACAATAATTCCCTAATCAGTGTTTGCAAACACTGGCCCCGAGAATAACAAGACAATAATCAATATCTATGAACTACAGGTACACTGCAATGTTGCTCATAATTTCAACAAATAAATTCATTAACATTTTTACAATCTTTCAATTCTCTAACAAAACTTCTATAGTTATTTGAATCTTTTATACAATGTGGTAAATTATTAAATTTCTTAATGGCGTCTGTGATCGGATTTTTTAAATTTATGTTAGTTCTTGTGGAAATTTGATAAACATTATTTAGTGATCTTGTTTGGTGATCATGCACGTTATGATAGAACCTAATATTTATGTTTCTTTTTAGTAGATTATTTATAATTTTATAAACAAGTTTACATTGTTCCACCTCCAATAACACTCTTAATTTAAATAAATATAATAAATTTAAATTTGAATAAAGTGTATTAGAACTTGTAAGCCAATCAAAATTAAACAATATTTTCAGAACTTTATATTGTAAAACTTGAGCTTTATTAAAATTAACTTCACCGCACATACCCCATACTGGCAAGAGGTACCTAAAATGTGTAAGAAAGAAGGCATTATAAATTTGAAATTTGCTTTTGTTGGACAAATAATCTCGACTCTTATATAAGGCAGATAGCATTGAAACTATTTTATCACAAATTCCATTTACGTGAAGTGACCAATTTAAACTTTCATCTATTAGTAATCCCAAATATTTAATACTTGACACTTTTTCTAGCGCTATATTATTTATGTTAATATTTAGATTATTGCTAACTATCTTATTTTTTTGTTTAAATATAATGTATTTTGTTTTTTCAATGTTAATTTTTAATCTATTCGAAAACAGCCATTTAAGATAACTATTCAGGTCATCATTAATAAGATTCGTTAAAGCAATTTCGTCTGTTCCAGTATATACCAGTACAGTGTCATCTGCAAAGGTAAAATATCTTCCCCTCAGATTGGTCAACTTGAGATTCAGTACATAAAGACTGTATAACAGAGGTCCAAGAACTGACCCCTGTGGTACTCCATAGGTGCTAGATAACCATTCACTATCAATGTCTCCAAGCTTTATGTACTGTTTTCTGTCATATAAATAAGACTTAATCAAGCTGTACGAAACACCTCTAAATCCCATTTTAAACAATTTATCTAAAAGAATGTCTACGCTTACTACGTCAAAAGCCTTTTTTAGGTCAATGAAAACAGCTACAACTATTTGTTGTTTATCTAGAGCCATTGAAATGTAGTCCACAAAATCAACAACCGCACTAAGTGTGCTACTGTTCGTTATAAAACCATATTGAAATTCATCAATCAATATATTGTGAGTAACAATGAAAGATAACATTCTTTTTTTTATTAATTTTTCTATAATCTTAGAGAATACACACACCACTGAAATAGGCCTGTAATTGTTCATACATTTAATATCTCCCGACTTAAAAAGTGGGGTTATTTTAACCATTTTCAATTCTGATGGAAATATTCCTTTTTGTATAGTTTCATTGATTAATCGTACTAAAACAGGTATTAAGTATTCTCCAAGATTATTTACATCCTTAACCGTGATACCGTCATATCCAGGTGCTGAGTTTATTTTTAGTTCTTTCACAACTTCTAACAACTCTTCTTTATTAGTCAATGTTATCGAAATAGAATCTTCGTTGTGAACCTCACCAACAGAAATAAACTCATTCAACTGCTGAATCTCTGCTTCCAAATTTTCAACAATTGATCTACCGACCCGAGAAAAGTATTTATTTAAATTGTTTGCAATATCAAGTTGAGTGTTAATAATGTTATTTTCAGTTACTTGTTGATCAATTCTTACTTTATACTCCTTATTTTTTATTAGGCTGTTTATAAAAGCCCATTGTTTCTTTACATTGTTTCCAGCTAAGCTCCATTTAGTTTGGAAATAACGGTTCTTCAAAGCACGTATTTTATTTTTTTTTTTTTTTTTTTTATTTAGCATACCGCTTCGACCTAAAGGTCATTAGCGGGGAGTAGGTTAAATTTTGTACATAAATCTAGATGCTTTAAGAAAATTGGAAATGTTTATAATATTACACTGTGGTCCTATAATGTCAGCCAGTGTTCCGTTTAGTTTATACATAAACCTATATACTTCTAGCACTGGGCACTCAATTAGTAGGTGTTTC